CCGCCAGGGACCCGAACTGTGACCCGAATGCCTCTTCTCGTGGGGACTAAATTGCGAAGACATCTTCTCGGGAATTTTCGGCCTGGGCCTGGTGGAGTCAACAAACGGCTCGGGATGAGAAATCGGTTTGGGGAAAAAGACCTTTCCCTGAGGGTCCACGATGTGAGAAAATCGCAGCGTCGAATGTCTGGGACCGAAGATCCTGAACTTCCTCAACCATTTGCCGAGGATCGTGGCCCTGCGGGCGCGGAAACGGCCTAATGTGCAGGAGACCGTGTCCCTGGGAGCGCAGGGCCTTCGCATCGTGGCCCCGGGAGCGCGGATCCAGCGCAATCCACAGGGGTCCATGGCCCTTGGCCAGTCTTTGCTGGTGATGTGCGCGTATCTTTGACGCTCTCTCGCCTGTACTGGGGCCTTCGGACATGCCTCCGAGGGCTCCCCTGGGAAGGCAAATGTGAACCCTCTGCAGGTCAGATTTCTGAAAAACCAGCTGGGGGCTTCGGGGGGGGGCCCTCTGTGGGCTTCTTTGGGGCCTCTTGGGGCCTTGCTGGGGATCTCGGGGGCGTCTTTTGGGGGAGGGCTTCCGGTGTTCCTGCGAGTGCTCCCTCTTGAGCCTCTTTTGGGGGCCTCTTGAAGGCATTTTGGCGTGTCTTGGGGGTTTCTTGGGCTGTCGTAGGGTTCAGAATTTGAAGGATGCACGCAGCCAGGTGACCCCCAGCGGGAGTGCCCGATTCCCCAACGTCGAAGCGAAAAGGCCCGCAGGGAAATTAACCCTGAGGTCTTCGCACAGACTCGCAGCCTGGGGTCCCTCCGGATCTCTCTGGAGACCCAGACATCGGGAGCGGCCACGAGGGGGGTGTCCAAGAGGGGGGGGTGCAAAAAATGACCGGCGGCATGTGCGTGGCCCAGCGGGGGGACCAGGGACGTAATGAAACAAGAAGAGGCACCATGAAATCTGGGGAAATATCATGGCCCGCGCCATGATATCCACCCCCCATAGTCATCACCCCCCCCTTTGCCGCCCCCGAAAACAGAAGACTCCCGTCGTCTGGAACACGAATCGCGCCGGAAAGGTCTCACAGTCGCTGTGTGAGGGGGGCTGCTTCTGGAAGCGGCCCCGGTGGAAACGCCAGCCCTCGGGAAAGGAATCGAGAAGCGGGGGGGAACGGCGCCCCGGGGCCTCCTCCCCCCTCCTAGAGGCCGCCCACACTGGGTCGTAATAGATGGTGTTGGTGGATCGCGCATCATCGCCGACGCATCGCCGATGCATGGACAAGTCATCCGCGAAGTCGGCGATGCATCGGCGACGCCGGCGTGGAGAAAAAACAGCTCCACATCGAACCGCATCCTACACGCATCGGAGATCTGGCGCGATGCACCGGCTTCACCTGGCGGGTTCCGGAATCCCTGAAACCAAAAAAGCGGGGGAACATTTTTTTTTTGTTTTAAAAAAAAAAAGAAAAAAAAAAACGAGACTCCCATTCCCAAGGAAGTTTTGCGAGGGCAATCTGGACGAAACCTACCGCAAGAAACGCGGCGCTACCGATAAGATCGGAGGAGCCCTGAGACACAAAACCGACGGAAACGCGTGGGCGGCGGCCGCTGGGCCGTTGCCCCGCGCCTCACGCTCCCCTGCCTCTGCAGGGTCGGCACAGTGAAGGCGGCTCCCTCCTCCCTCTGGTGGAGAGAGGCGCACCCCCACAAAAGCGACGCCCCAAACTGGCCACAGGAATCCAGGCTCGAAGGAAGTTTACTGAGCGGGATCCCTGGGCTGCAACCTGAAGTAGCTCGTGAGAGTCCTCTGTCCAACCGAGGGGCGAGAGAGGGGACGAGACGTCGCCGTCGACGGAGGCGGACGAGGGGAGAGAGCAAGGCAGGGTTCCCGAGCCTCGACTGGCCTGGCTGCTCCTGTTCTCACTTGCGTTTCTGCTTCTTCTTGCCGCCGCTGGCGGAGCCACTGCCCGAGCGGATCGCCAGGGTCTCTACCAGCTTGGCTGCCTTGGACCTCGTCGCGATGTCGAACTGGAGGACGATACCCGCGGCGGCCAAGGCTCCGTTGGTCCGCAGCGTGTTGAGCGCTGCCTTGAACCCTGGGTAGTGATTCACCGCGAAGATCCACCTGGTCTCGCCCTCCTCGTTGCTGTCGCCCTCGTTGCGGCTGGCCTGGATCCGAAAGCAGCGAGTGGCCACGAACTTCGCCTCGGTGTTCTGTGCCAGCTTGCCCATCTGCAGCAGCACCTCCAGCGCTGCCTGCGCTGCCTCGGGTCCGGCCCCCTGCGACACGGCCTCCGTCACCTGCTGCCTATTGAGGAGCACCGCCTCCATGATGCGAAAGACCACGGCGCGGGCCAGCGCGTCGGGCCGCTTGCCCAGCGGGTTGCCCAAAAACTGGCTGCCCTGCTCGCTCGCCTTCTCCTTGGCCTTGCGACCCTCGTCCTCGCACGTCGTGATGGCCTGCTCCAGCGCGTTCGCCAGAGCGCACTGCGGCTTGAGAACCATCGCGAAGTTGTCGTCTCGGTGACCTGCTCGAGCGAGGTCCTCGTGCTGGAGGGCGAGCCTGACGAGTGCCTTGGCCAGCGGGCCCACGATGTCGTTGCCCTCGCCCTTGTCCTCTGGGTTCGGAGCCGCCGCGCGCTTCTTCTGGCTGGCTGCCACCTGCACCTCCGCGATCGGCTGGAACATAACTGGCAGGGACAGGAGGAGATGCTGCAAGCTCAAGTTGTGAATCTGCTTGAGCCTGAACGCCAGCGAGGACGGGGCAACGGCCTAGTTTGACATGGCGAATCAACGTGTCCTTGCGAGTGAATTGTCTCGCACAGTGTGAGCAACGCTTCTGTTGAAGATCGACATCCGAAAGAAAGTTGGCCGTGGGATTCGCATAGGTGTTGCGTGCAGCATGTTTGTGATTGGCGAGGCCCTTCTCTCCATTGCAATTTTGTCCGCGCACATCGCACTGAATCCAGACAACAGCAACAGGCTCGCCAGCTGCGACCTCGCCAAAGGTGAGAACACGACGGAAGCAGCGCTGCTCACAGGAGGCAAGCCAGCGAAGCCACGGCTCAGCAAGGTCAGGTAGGTCACCGTGAAGAAGGAAGAGGCGGCGGGCCTCCAGCTGCTCGTGCGCCTCCACAGTGTTCCAGGGCTGGCGCAAGTCGCCCTTCAGCACAGCAAGGAGGCCGTGGGGCTCACGCGGGCCAGGAGGCTCGAAAGAAAAGCGGCCGAAGATGACGGCGCGGACCGCCAGCGTGGCGTCGTAGAGGTCGGGCGTGGGCCCACGGAAGACTGGCCAAAGGACTCGTCGCCACCATTTGAGTCGTCGATGCTGAAGTGTGCTCTCCACTGTCGGGACACGGGCCTTCCTCCTGATCTCGCGGTTGGTGAGCTTGTTGATGTGGGCAGGGGAGTGTAGAAGCCCTCGGAGCTTCCGAACTTGCCAGGATTCCAAGCGGAGGAGCTCGCGCTTGGACATCACAGCAACTTCCAACGCATACAGGCCAACTGAACGAACCAACGCCTTCCACAAGCGTATCTTCATCTTCGGGCTGACCCCCCCTTGAAAGCACGTCGGAGGAGTCGAGAATGGGCTTGGTTGGCGCTCTGGAGCCGGTGGGTAATCTCAGTCTGGTAGCTGCCTGATGCGGCCATGCGAACGCCTAAGTACTTGACCGTCGGCTGCGGGTGCACGGCGAGGGCCTCGTCATCCTGCCAGGTCACGATGCCCGTGGAGTGTGAGTTGATGGACTTCTGGCGTCTCTTGCTTCCCGTGCCGCTGGGGATGAGGAGTAGCTCGGTCTTGTTCGCGTTGACCTTCATGCCACCGAAGGAGATCTCGCCGTTCACTAAGTCAAGCAGCTGGGGCGCCTCGTCAAAGTGGTTTACCTCTCCAAACGTCAGCAGGTCGTCTAGGAACTTGAGGTGGGTAACGTCCAGGCAATCGCAGGAGTCATTCAGCAGCGGATCCGAGGTGCGGATCTTCTTGAGGCTGGGGTCAAAGTAAACGAAGATCCCAGGAAACTCATTCTCGCGCTGACGTTCTGCCACCTCGGCAACTAGCTTGTCATAAGCAGCAACAAAGAGACCAGGGCTTTCCACTCCTCCCTGGCGGACGCCGCGCTGGACATGAATGCGAGAGCAAGGTAGGCGAGTGCGCACGTCACGATAGAGGTAGCACATGCCGTCATGGAGCTCCTCTAGCGTCTCACGTGCATCAGGCCGTAGCTGGAGGGACTCCAGGCTATCCCAGATGGACTGCCGTGCGATGATGTCGAAGGCCTTCTCCAAGTCAGTAAGGATGACCAGCAGCATAGGAGGGGGGTCCGTGGCTCGTCCGCGTACTCGGACTCGATGGGCATGCTGATGACGGGTGATGACCTCCATCGCAACCGAAATTGCGTCCCGAGTGCCACGGCCTGGCATGGCGCCGAACTGGGTCGGGGAGATCCTGTAGGAGATATCGCGCATGGCGTCGAGGGCGGTGACCCGCGCGAAGACCTTGCCTATGTGGTTGATGAGGCTGATGGTGCGGTAGCCGTTCATGGCAGACTTCCCATCGCCTTTCGGCTTACGCAGGTGTGCAGTTTCGCCATCCTTGAACCGCTGGGGTGCGGAGCCCAACGCTTGGCTGCATTGAAAGATCTGGAGTAGGGGCGGGCTGACGTTCTCTAAGGCAAGCTTCCAGGTCTCTGCAACCGCACCAGTAGGAGGAGCCTCAGGAAACCACTGTAAGGTAGGGCCTCCCTTGAAGTTCGGAAGGTTGCGAATGCCCTGCTTGGTGTCGGCCAAGTCATACGGCCCAATGCGATCATCATCACGGCCCATGTCACGGGCACGGGCTGGTAGTTCATGGAGCGCCATCGCCGTGTCATTGCACAGCGAACAGATACTCGCCACTCGGACTTGGTCATCACGTGCTGAGTCGAAGCATGGGAGGCCTGTCTGCGGGCCGTTGACGGTCACGATGGGTGCAGGTGGCTTGGGTGCGAGACGGCGGACGATGGAGGACAGGCGCCGTAGGTTATTCTCGCCAGCCGAGCGCTCGGCAAATGCTGCACGATGTGCCATACGCTGCCGCTTCTCACTCCTGATGGCCTTGGTGCAGATCTCGGGCGCCTCTAGGAACTTCTGGTGGAAGAAAAGGGCCAGCCATCTCGAGCCCGAAGAGAGAGCGGCCAGTTGATACTGCCAATGATGCTTCATCATGATGAGTCGCATAGTGGCCTCCGAGAAGACTGGCCCCGTAGAAGCACCCCGCGGCTGTGGCAAGTCGATGTAGTCCTTGGAGGCGGCCTCAATGATGACGCCCTCCATCGCGTTGAAGTACTCGGAGGGGTCGGCAAAGCGTTTGCCACTGCCGCAGACGTCAATCCAATCCTCCTGCAAGCTCATCGCCTCGATGCCCTCCTGGACCTTCGTGCGGAAAAGATGCACACGATCAGGGATGGGATGGCTGTGCCCGAAGTCCTCCTCTGCCAATTGGACTGCGCGCAGGTCTTGGGTGAGAAGCTCACGGCGCCAACGGGGTCGTGCAGATGGTACAGAGGACTTCAAGCGGGTCCCGATGAACAATTTTGTCTGTAGAGGGCGGTGGTCCCGATATCCTCCGAGGTTGACTGGAAGGTCGAAGCGAGGGCGGGAATCGTGGCCGTATCCACCTTGGCGTCGGACAAGGACATAGTCGATGGTGGTCCAGGCTCCTGCGGGGCTCCTCCATGTGCCATTGCGGCGGCCTTTCTTCCCGAACGTATTGAGTGCCGCCAGCCCGAAATCCTCCAGGATGTCCATCAGAGCGCGCCCGTTGTTGTTGATGAGAGGACCATGCCCACGAACGCCAGCGTGGCCCACCAGAGGAAGGTGGGGAGGCAGGTGAGCATTGGCGTCCAGCGTGACCACCAAAGAGGTGCGAGCAGGGACCTGACTAATCGCGTGGCGGCATGCGCGCCAGAAGGTCTCCTGCTGAGAAAAATGTGCTTCGCGGAAGGCGCCAGCATCCACGCCGTTCGGGGGCCGTCCAGGGTCATTGGTGGGCGCGTAGCCGTTCAGGATGTAGAGGTCGCGCTCAAATCGACTGTGGCCAAGGCTGCGAATCCGAATGCCTTGGAGCCTACCAGGCAGCCACGAATGCTCGCACCTTATCTCGCCAGGCTTGAAGTGGCGCGCGCTGATGGCGATGAGGCAGCCGTCACGGTGGCCGACTCCCGAACGAGGGTGAGAGTGGACGCTGTAGCCGCACGACTGCCAAGACATGCCTAAGTCCATCTGGGTGCCCTGCATCGCAAAGATGGCCACGTTCTCTGCCTTCGCCAGCTCGAGAAGCTCCTCCAATCGACCTATGCGGCGGAGTGATTCAGCATTGAAGCTCCAGAGCCGCACCGTCCTCTCTTTGAAGCAAGTAGCGTCGTTCCGAGCTGGCGTGCGACCGAGCTCTTCAGGTTGTTGGCGCAGCTGGGGCGGTTCGCTGGTGAGCAATCCTGGGAGAAGTTGCGCTGCAACAGCACGAGTATATCGTCGTCCTCGGTACCAAGCAGCGCCCACCACCAACGCGAGCCGCACAGCACGCCTCAGGGCACGCTTGCCGCGCATGCCGATACGCCCTGCTTCCAGCGGCCTGAAGCAAACGGCTCCAGTGGTGCTGTCCTCGCGGGTCGGGCTACCCGCGAACGCTCGCCTCGCAGCGGGCCCTGAGTCAGCAGCCCCGCCAGCAGCCTGCAGCTGCGGCAGCCATGGTGCAACTGGCGGGAGGCCAAGGGCTGGCCAGGACTTGCGACCTGGCACGACCGTCCGCTGGGACGGCAAACGTCTCGAGCCGTCGAGGCTTATGTTTTGTTTCCGCTGGCTTCCGCCAGCCTTCTGACGAGGAAGAGTGTCCATCTGCTTCGATCCTCTAAGGCAAGGCCTTTTCTCGAGCGCCCCATTTGCTTCGACCCCGTTCGGGCGGCCTGGGCCTCTTCCCGCCTGAACGCTTCCCCGCGCGCGCGCGAGGGGGCGGGAGCGGAAAGCATGCCCGCACGGACGCGGGGACGCGCAATGCTATCAGCAGGTCGACTTCGGGCACGTCAGACCAAATTTTCTCAAGCGCAAATTGGGGAGGAGAGAAAGGAAAACTGAGGGGAATTATATTCTGTAGGGCCGACGGCATAATCCTGCGACCTGCAGCGGCCCCGGACTCGGGACGGCACGGGACTCGGGCGGAGGGGGGCAGAGGCATGATTCGCATGGGGGAAACGACACGGGCCCTGAGGGAACCAGGTCCTGGACCCTGGGGCCTTCCCCCAGGATGGGATCTTCAGCCTGAGTCCTTTTCTCGCAGTCCTGGGGCCCATGGAGGGCCCCGAGACCCCGAAATGACGTAGCACATCAGGTCCCGATTCCCTCAGGACCCGCTTCCCCCATGGCGAAGGTAGGAGCAGGAGAACGGCACGTCAGCCAAGAACGCGGCTTGCCGGCACGTGCGCCACGGAGGCTTCCCTGTCCTCCGTAGAGGCACTGGGGCACTTTGCGGGTGCTCAGGAATGGACATGCGGAGCGCCCCTAGATTGTCGTGCCCAGAGGCTTGGACGATCTCGCTGCAAAGAGAAGGGTGCATATCTTGATGGTGCCCAACCCTGGCGCGCGCCAATGAGTACACACAACGGGAGCATGCCCCTACGCTGCTACCCAGTTAAGATTCCGCGACCAGATGTCTGGGGAAGGCGCGGAGCAATTCGACGCGGAGATCTCTGCGCGCTTCCCGTTCCGTAGCACTTCCGGCAGAGAACCCTGCCTGCTAAGAAAGAGGCCACAAGCCCCCAAGCTCCAACTACCCTGTCGGGACGGGGGCAGCATCAGAAGCAAGGGACGGACAACTCGGAATCGATGTTCGAGCAGGGCATTTGCATAGCGGGCATTTGCGTACACGTCCAAACCGCTGTTGAAAAAAGTAAGAAAGCGCTTGCACGGCTACGTAGAGTCCCTACTCCTGGACGCCAATTTTGATCGATGGTCTGTCTCGCTTCACGATCTGCTTGCGCTCGAGGTCCAGTTCGGCGCCACGTACACCCCGTAGCCGCAGAGAAAAGGGAGGATCATACGAGGATGATGACTGGAACGAATGTTGCACAAATACGGGGCAAGGGGTAGGGGTAGAGGCTTGTTCGCTTCTGAACCCTCGGGGGCGCTTGAGGCTATGCTAGGGGGGGGAACAACGCCCATAAAAGGAATCCGCGCAAAACTCCGAAACCCTCTTCCTGACCCACGACAGCGAGCTACACACACCTCGGGGGGAGGGGGAGCAGGAGGGGAATGCTGAGGCCGATCATGATCCTGCGGGACAGGTGGGCGCCTGCAGAGCGAGTGACTGCTTTGCACACGTGGCCACGGGCGTCAGAGCGCTATCCACCGCACTCACCACTGCCGCAGGCCGCGCACCGCCAACTCCGCGATGTCGAAGGGACACCCAGTGGCCTCCTGGGCTCCGCGGGCGCCCTCGGTCAGGCGGCCCTGGAGCTCCTCCAGGGTGGCCCCCGCCAGCCCGCCGCACGCCTGCACGGCGATGTAGTTGCCCGCGCCGCCCTCCACCCGGACCACGTCGAACTCGCCCTCGCCGCCCTGCGCCCCTGCGCCCCTCGCCCGGACCTCCCACTCGGAGGTGCGCACCGAGAAGCCTGGCCCGGCGTCCCTGCCGCACGCCGCCAGGGCCCGCCGGTAGGCGCCCAGCCTAGACGCGACGTCGACGCTCTCCAGCAGATTGACCGCCAGCACGCCGTCCGCGCGGAGCAGGCCCTGCGCCAGCGCCTGGCAGACGCCGCCGTCGCCGCTCCACAGCGGCGCTGGCGTGTCGCCCGCCGCGTCGAAGGCGTCGATGAGCACCGCGTCGTAGAGGCCGCCGACGCTCGCGCCCGCGGCGGACACCGCCTCGAGCGCGAACGCGGCCCCGTCGCCCGTGATGGCGCGGAGGCCCGGGCCTTCGCGGAAGCCCAGCGGGCCCAACGCGGCGGCCACTACCGCGGGCTCGAGCTCCACCGCGTCCACGTCACACAGCGGCACGTGATGTGACAGGAAGGACGGCATCACGCCGGCCCCCAGCCCGATGCACAGCACCCGCAGGCGCTCCGCGGTGCGCTCGCCAGCGCCCGCGCCCGTGCGCAGCGCCGGCGCCCCAAGCGCACTCAGCGCCGCGAGCGCCACCGAGACCATGGACCTACGGGGCTACACGTAAGAGCGACCCTGAGCAGGAGTGACCTTTGGTGCGCGGCTTTAGGGGCCCGCGGGGACGCCAAGCCTAATCGTGCAAGCCAATGCTTGGGGGGGCCCTTCTCTCGGGGGTGGACACAACCCCCTTTAGCGAATCGCCCTTGAGTGAAAGCTGCCACAGTCAGCCCACGTACGCACGGCGCCGCATTCGGAGTGGACCCCGGCAGAATAGCTAATCGATGTCCAAGAGCTACATCGGGCAAACCACACGTCGATTAGCGAAACTGACGGGGAACTGCACCAACACACTCGAGTGCCACTGTCGATGGAACCCGTGCAGACTCCCCCCGTCGACTTGTTGGGGGGGGGCTTCTGTGAATGCCCGACTGTCGGCCAGAGGCCACTCCTGCGAAGGGCCACTCTGACGCGTGGCCGACCTCAGAGGCCCGAGCGAGAGCGCGTCTGCGCGCTGGAGCACGGGCGGCGCCGAGGCGCCCGGCGGGGAGACGCACACCTTCGCGACGGCCTGCAGCAGGTCGCCCTCTGGGCAGCCTCGCGCGCCCGCGTCGGGCTGGAAGGTGAGCACCCGCCACTCCTGGCGCGAGCCCTCGGGGAAGCCGGCGGGCGCCTCGTGCTCGGACGCCTCGTGCCGGGTCACCCGCAGCCTGCCGCCCCCCTCCAGGGGCAGGTCGCGCAGCACCTCCCCCGCGGCGAGGTACTCCAGCAGAGGGCCCCCAGGAGCTGCACGGTGCAGAACAGAGCTCTCGTGCAGGCCCGCGCGGACTTCCCTAGGGGTCGGCGCCAGACCCGCCTCCCTACGTGGACAGGCGCGTTCCGCCACTCGCAGAGCAAATACATGCTCGCAAGTGGCCTGAATCCGCCACTGGGGATATACGATGTGTTACGTCGAGGCAAACATGTGTTTTTCATACATTTGCGAGTAGTCATGTTGCGAGTAGTGGAACGCGCTCGGTGACTACACCCCTGGCGGCGCCTCTGGCGCGGAGCGCGCAGAGGGGCGGCGTCGGAGGCGCCGTCTGGAGGTGCTGGAAGATGGGGCCCAGCGCTGACCCAGGAAACCCGCGCGGATCGGGACAGACGAAGGGGGGGGATGAAAACTGGGGGTTAGCGAGTGAATCTCTGGGCGGCGGGGCCGAAACTAGCTGCATGCAGCTGGCACGCAACCGTCTTCGTGCCAATCCCACACCTTCGTCGACCAGCAGCGGCCCTCCCCTCCCTTCAGACGCCGTAGGCCTCTCGCAGTGTGGGCCGGGGGGCTCCCGAGCACTTCCTCGGGCCAGACCTTGCCCCGAGCAGAGCTGGCGCGCAGGGGGTCCCCGCTCGGGTGGCGTAATTACTCCTTGGAGGAGTGTGGCGATATTCTGCCTGGCGCCTCGTGCCCGCCCCCATTGGCCGCCCGTGGGCGCCTCGTGCGCCTCGGGGCAGGCTCGGCGAGGCCTCGCCCGGTGCCCGCCCGGTGGCCGCCCCGTGCGGCGGGCGGGCGCGGCGAAATGTCGTCGGCGGGCGCCCGCCCGCGGCCGGCCCGCGGGCGCCTCGTGCGCGGGGCGGGCGTGGCGAGGCCTCGCCTGGAGCCCGCCCGCGGGCGCCTCGTTCGCGGGGCGGCCGCCCATAGCTTGCACCACAGGGCCTTCCACAGATGAGCCTCCAGCACGCACGGCTTACAGCAAGCCAGCTCATACCACCTGCACTGCACAGCCTGCGAACACACAGCGTGCACCAGGTGGCTTGCACCACGTAGCCGACAACACACCGCTTACACCACATAGCTCGCACCGCATTGCCAGTTTGCACCGTACAGCTGGTACCACGTGGATTGCACCACATGGCTGGCACCGAATATTTTGCACCACGTCGCCCACACCACGTATAGCTTGCAACGCAGAGCTAGCACATCCACAATGCAACGACTGCCTATTTGGGGTCCACGCTGGCAAACCCAGTCCATGCTGAATGTTTTTAGACTGCCTCACAACCAGGAAGCGGCCGCCAGATGCCGAAAACGCCTGAACACGCTCGTCGCGAGATTTTGCTCGCGACGCGGGGGGGGGGGTCTGGGACCTTCGAAAGTTCATGCCTCCCAGACAGGGCCGTTCCTGGCGGCCTTCCAGATGGGGCTGGAACAAATCCGCCGATCCGGCGTGTGAATTTCTGAGAGCGTGGACTTGAGCTCGTTCAAGCTTCGCTCTGCAGGGGGGGGGGGGGGCGTACGTTATTTCCGACGTCATTTCCGACGTTTTTCGGTACACGGGGATATTTCCAACGTCATTTCCGACGTTTTTCGGTACCTGGGGACAGGAAGGTATAGAACACTCCACTTCCAGAGGCCCCCCGGATTGGCGGCACTGGGCGGAGGCCAGCCCAATAGAATTGGGCCGGCGAATCGCGCCACGATGTCGATGCATCTGGTATGCATCGGCGACGGCGGGGCGGAGAAGGAACGGGTCCCGGACCGCGTCGCATCGCCGATGCATCGGCGATGCGGAACTGATCCTACGACCACGTCTGTCCGGGCACAAAAGAGAACCACAACCAGGATCGAGTTGAATGTTCTTGAGGGCCACTCGGGGGCAAACCCATCAACCTCGACATGAACACTTTAGCTGTGGTTGTGGTCGATTCGGTCGTTCTGGGCGCCCACTTCGACCACAGCCATTGGTAAGCCGACTCCGGTGCTCTGGCGACTCCTGGCTGGCGTGCACGAGACATCCCCGAGGGCGTGTCCTCGATGTGGTGGTGGTCGCTTGCCCCCGCAGTATTGGAGGGGCCCCAGGACACACAAATAAATACACACACAAATAACAATATTCCCCATATTTCCTCATATTTTCCAGGTTTCTGTCTTCCCCCCCACTTCCCATATTTTCCCATATTCTCTGTGGAATCGACGATTAATTGTGTCTGTGTGTTTACTCCCCTCCTGAAATATACTCTGGCCCCGCCTGGCCGAAGTGAGGTACCCTAAGCCAACAATAACTGACGTCTCACAGCTGCTCGGCTGCACGCAAGAGTGACCCTAGGTTTAAGTCGGGCCTGTCCCCCTACAGGGGGATGTTCGACGAAAAATCAAAAACAAAAAAAATAACATACCCCAAACAGGTCAACAAATACAAAAACTAATCCCCAGACTATCTTTAAACTATTGTTTGAATATTTTGGGTGTACTTTTTATTGTTCGTCGGAAATCCCCCTGTATGGGGACAGGCCCGACTTAACCCTAGGTAAGAGTGACATGTGGTGCGCGGCTCGCCGAGCGTTGCACGCGATGCGACAGTAGCGGCCTTCGAGCTCGGGTTTGGACCCCCGCGCACCCCGAAAGCCCACCACCAAAGGTCACTCCAGCGAAGGGCTCACTCTTATGTGCAGCCGATAAATGGCGTCCGAGTAGATGGGGCCGGAGGATTGTACAGAATCGCCGATGCATCGGCGACGTCGGCAGTGCATTGGCGCCGCCGGCGTGGAGAAACTCGGGCTCCACATCGAGCCGCATCGCCGATGCATCGGCGATGCGGCGATCCTCTGACCCACTTTGCTCGGACCCCAGCTGGTCGGAGGCGACGATAAGGGGCGAGTAGCCCAGGGTCGGGCATTACACGTAGTCGCCCAGGATACTCGCCGAATGCATGGACCATCGGCGCCCTTGGATACACGTGTTGCTCTTCCCTGGGCTATTCGCTCCCGTCGTCGCTCTGGGAGGCCTAGAACCTTCCGTCCGCTGGCGGACCCAACGGCGGCCCGGGGGTCTGAGCTGGTGGGGCCCCGAGACGTCGTGCAGAAGCGAGACTTTGTGGCTTTTAGTGGGGGTTATTGGGTTACGGAGGAGGATTGGGTGAGGGGTTGTATGTAGCATCGCATATCACACATTGCATAGCACCGCGTCGCATAGCATAGCATCACATAGCATTGCTCCTCATACCATATAGTTGCATGTCATGACATACCATATCACAACGCAGCATCTCAAAACATTGCATAGCGTGGCATACTTAACATATCATAGCATTGCATCGCATAGTATAGCATAGCGCAGCACAGCATCGTATCGCATACGACAACCTATCATAGCACTGCACAACATAACATTGCATAGCATAGCACGGAGCACTCCCACGCCACGGGACACCACAGGACACCACGAGACAACGCGGGACATTGCGACAAGGGGCACCAAGGAGCACCATCGGGACACCACAGGGCCGCCTCTGGCTTGTCGTTTTAGCAACGGCAGGTTCATGTTTTTCGCCCGCCCTGCGCAGCCTCGTTTCGCCCGCTCGCGCGACACGAACACGAACATTTGTCAGTGGGGGTGTCCGTGTCACTGCGATACACATGTTTGCATACATACGTTTATGTATGTGTGTACGACATGCATTACCAATCAAATTACATGATATGTGTACAGGCATGTTAATATGTATGTCGACGTGTCGTGCACATGATGCATGGGGTTCGCATTCAGAATACATAATACGCAGACGAGCGTTGTGCATGATCACCCGCATACATTGCATGAGTGCGTGTGAACGATTTGCACGCGTGACATGTGTAGTGTATACGCACATCATTCGTATACCATACACACATGGGGTGCACATACATACGTACATCGAGTATGTCTGACACAAACGACACACGTAATGTGTATACATGTGTATGTGTGTACGCGTTGTGCGACGAACGCACGCATGAGTCATGTATGTGCACTGTGTTTGTCTGTACGCATGTCATACGTATGTATGCGCAACGGGATGAAGCTGGAACATTGTGTAGCTGCATGATATGTGTAAACATGTTTTTGTGTGCACGTGAACGCGCGTAACTATGTATCTGTCGCGCACGCGCTTATCATTACATACGTACACATACAACCGTGCATTCATGTGTACAGTTGTACATACACGCGCGCACACACCCATTCATGCGTGTGTACATATATATGTGGGCACACAAGCGCATAGTCAAGCATATATATATATATAGATATAGACATGTCTTGCGCAGACGCATGCGTATTTCACGTGCGATCCGAAAACAGCGCCCCACCCCAGATGTGTTTTTGTTTACGCGTCTTGCCGCAAGCTCCCCGCCAGGGTTTGTGCAGTGCGTATTGCCTATTGTTGATTGCCAGACGTGCAACGCACAGCGTATCTATGCGCGTGGCGCTCAGCTATCTAATGACTTTCAGCCCATCCCGCCACCGTGCCTGGGTTGTGGGCTAGAGTCCTCATGGATGCTTCATGGGGTGTCATCGGAGGACTCTCGGGAACGTCTTGGGAGCAGTTGTGAAGCCTCGTGGGGGCCTCTTGGGGGCATGTTGGGGCTTTCCCGAAGACACCCTCCAAAAGGTTCGTGCAACGCGTAGCGCTTGTTGTTGTGTTCCAGGCGTGCATCGCATAGCGTGTCTATGCGCGTAGCGCCCAGATATATTCAGCGCGTAGCGCTCAGCTATATGCATACGACTACTACTACTACTACTACTACTACTACTACTACTACTACTACTACTACTACTACTACTACTACTACTACTACTACTACTACTACTACTACTACTACTACTACTACTACTACTACTACTACTACTACTACTACTACTACTACTACTACTACTACTACTACTACTACTACTACTACTACTACTACTACTACTACTACTACTACTACTACTACTACTACTACTACTACTACTACTACCACTACTACTACGACTTCTACTACCACTACTACTTCTACTCCTACTACTACTCCTACTTCGACTACTCTTGTGTACTACTACTACGACTTCTACTACTTCTACTCTTGCTACTAGTACTA